ACAGAAGACAGAAGCATGTGCAACCCCACACGCCCGCGGGAAAAGCGTACAATATCAGGCATGTGCCAGCCCACACGTCCGCGGGAAAAGCGTTTCAGCTCAAAGTCAGTCTCATTCACTTGAAACGTTTTTTGAACAAAGAAACTAAATAACGCTTGTACTGTCATGGTTGTTTGTATTAAAATTTAAAACATATCTGAATATCGATATTATGCACGTTGCAAAACAAGTTACCAGTAGAGTGAATTGTCGTAAGTGATTTTACGATTTGTTCCCTTTGATACAAGACACATCACAGATAGCAATAATTCAAATAGTTCAGAAATTTAACACAAAGCTCGGGATTTCATCGAAAAGGGACACCATCAAAATGCTTTAGGATAAGACTTGGGGTATACTGTAAGATATGCCCAAGATGAGAAGGTCCGTGAGTCGATGTATAAAAAGATTTGAAAGATGACACTTGTTGTTTCCCTGCCTGGTGCTGGGGGGATTAAACAAGGAATGGTCGGCTCGGAGTCAGTATACCTTTGGAAAATGAGGCGCCCTCAAACTGTATGTGGCAATATTTCATTACCTGTTTTGCGTAACTGCTCGCTTGAGTATAACTGATTGATGGCATCATGCATGTGCAATGTCCATCTGAATGTTTTTTGTCGTTTGTTTCAGCAGTAATAATAGTACTTGGAGTCAAGTTTTCCTATCACAATCGATAGAACATTTTCATTCGGATCAGTAATATCCGAGCCCAACACTCAGTAGGCACACTGAATATGACACCTTCAAACCAGACACATATCAATTCATATAACACAATTAACGCCAGACAATCATTAAATTTCGCTTCATCACACATGTGTAAATTTCTAGAATGAATACTGAATAATTTATATTTTTAAACGAACAAAACCCATTCAATCGAGTTAAAATGTGTACACTCTGTGATAAATTCATGCACAATATACAGGATCTTACACACTGTTTACAATTTGTGTAACTACAGAAACGTAAAATTCGAAAGTTAGTGACAGAATTTTTAAGTTAGAAATTATTTAATCAAAATAAAAGCGTACATAAGTCATCCGTAGCTAAATGCAGGTTGATTCTATTTCTGACTGTATCATGAACATAATTCTTATGAATCATATCAACATACAACAGCATCAGCAACGCTCTAACCACTAAGCTACCCCACAGCCCTTCTTGTGATAAGTCTTGTAGAATGTGTTTTGTCACATTCAGTCGTTATGCTTAGATCGAAATATGAAATAGCTAATCAAAGGAGAGACTTAGCTGTTTCATAAATATTAAACAATATCTGATTATCGGTGTACATGAAGTTTCGTTAAACGTGTTGGTCAAATTACCCTGTTTTGACCTTATGACATTCTGATTCTTATATTATACAAAGAAAGAAACAAGTAATAGAGCACCTTGGTGCCTACTTCTTCCCCAAATGTCTTACCTCTAAAATTTTACAAAGGTGATATGTTATCAGTGAGGTGTTCCAGCATTCCTCATTGAAATTCAGATAACAATTGTTGATCTTAGATTGTACATAGTCAAACAAATCCTATGAAATTTTAAGACTCTACGCGGTATTAATTGCACTTTTCCCAATTATTATTACTTGAATATGAAGAGAGACCCTCCATAAATGTACTAAAGATTATGGTTAATCATGTATACAGGATTGTGATGTTTAAAATTTGCTCCTTCGCCCCACTGATGCCACAAAATGTCGCCTATTCCAAATGCGACGATTTACTGGTTCCTTGTTGGGGATTCGGATGACGTTGTAAACTTCAATCCGTTTCATCCCGGACGTGGCAAAATTGTGAGTTCTGAGAGAGTGAGTGAGTGAGTGAGTTAAAATTTAACGTCACCTCGGCAATATTTCAGACATATAGTGACGAGAAAGGTTCTGCATACACCATAAATATAAGTTATTAAATAATCAGTCATCGAAGGACTGTAAAATAACTAGAGTATCACAGATGATGTCTAAAACCAGCATGTAGATGTAAAACTATTTTATTTACGATGACAATACAATGTGTAAACAGGCTATAGGTCGCCAACAACTGAAGGTAGATCACCATACTAGGGACCATGGGGACTTACAGTGCCTTTGCCACCTGCATGGACCCTAGTTTGGTTTACACCATCCCTTCAGCCGCTGGCCATTGTAGGAACATTTAACCATAATTCAGGGGATACTAGTGGCCAGGGTAGCACCTTGTTCTGATTATTATGTGTTCCTGCTTCTGGTAAGACGAGACTAACGGGATCGGGTTGTCAGGCTCGCTGAATGTTGTCGTATGCCAATTGCGTAGATCGATGCGCATGCTGTTGGTCACTGGATAGTCTAGTCCAGACTCGATCATATACACACTGTCGCCATATAGCTGGAATATTACAAGCAAACAAACAAACAACAACAACAATGCTAAGAACAAGACACCAAGATGTAGATGTCCTAATAACTGTTTGATTGGTATTCTAAAAGTTAGTGAGGAAATATGAAATCGGGTTCAGTTGTGTGGTGTATTGAACTGAGGAGCTAAGGAAATTTTGTCTTTATGTTGATTCACCTTAAATTTGATTTACAACTGACAATATCTTGGGTCGGCGATAAACTGTTTGACCCTTTATCACCACTCAAAGAGCAAATCTACATGATTTAATTTTTATGAATATACTTTGAAAAAACTTTCAAAAGGAAATAAAAACGTTATACATGATACGCATCTGCTGATGGGAATCTTGGACAACTTATCTTTGATAATCATTAAATTTGCTCTTTTTCACGACAAATTTCAAACATGGCACTCGTGTTGTTGCATTTCAATTTCTCAACCCAGTCTTCATTGAATCAATCTATGTTTGTACGAAATACTCACAGGTACTTTTTACAATTTGTGCATGAATGAGTGATGGTTAAAAAGATATAACAGTTTAGCAATATTTTTTTCAGTTGTCAGTTACAAGAAATCAAACTCGGTGTATCTTGTTTCCCTCACTTTGTTTTCAAAACAACGGCACGTACATTCATAATGCAACGCTGCTGCTGATGATGATGATGATGGAGTGAATTGACAATGCTCAAAGCACCACGATTGAATAATACATGAACAACAAACGCAGCTGACTGATTTTTTAACAATAATCAACAGAGCAGAAGCTCTACTTTACTTTTGCACAGCCATCTGTCACTCTGGCTTAATGTGGAACTGATATTTCACAACTAGATACATATCATGTGTTTTCTCTGTAACTCTCCTAGTATGATTAGCAACGTGTGATCACACCGAAACTGTAATTGCGAAACACAAATTACTTAGTAAAACACTCCATTAAACAACATTTTCCATCTCTTTGGACAATAACCATAGTGTATTTTATATTACACATTTACATGAAGGTGTTTAGTATATATGCACGTCAACTTCACATCTTCGGCCAACAAACTCTGGGCACAGCCACGCAGAATAAGGTAATTTGTGTTGTAAACATGCTCGTATTTCGATATCAAAATATGCATGCAAAGAACCGAAGACTTCATTGAACTATGTTGTCCTAACTGGCTTGACTTTAAATTCAGTTTCGATGTCGGTAACAGTTTATAGAACGGATGGTAGTGGCAGCCGTGGTTGTCTATGGTGCAGTTAGAATTGCATGAAACATGTTGTCCATTTGTATAATTATTTTAGAGGCAGCTTCCAAGAAGCCCTAGAGATTAAAAGCATGCATAACTTCACATTTTCGGAAATTCGAAATTGTTGGTTACATTTTGTTTCTAACTTCGACCAACGTTTCGCCTGACGTATGTCTTCAAGTCTTCACGCAGAAAGAACGTCTACTGAAGTAATATATCTGATTTCAATGAGATTGACAACTGTTAATTATTTCGGAGAATCAAAATTGAAAACGTTCCAAACAGGCGTAGTGGTAGATATTGAAAGCATATACGTACATGCATTAAATGAGGACAGAAAAATGAAACAAATTGTGTTACAGATCTGCTGCACTCCTTGGTCAATAGTAAACATGTCAATAAAGATAGAGACTTTGCAAATATTGCTGTCATTATTGATGTGATGCAATATTCTGCATAAATATTGAGACCTCATAGCAAAACACTGAAATGAAAAAGGACAAGATCGTCAATTCTAGAGGACTGTATAGAATACAGTGTGCATTTTGACAGAACACAAGAGCATGTGTATGGTAAGAAATCAGAATATTGCAAAATAGTGTCGTATATAAATGTGAAAACAAATCCTGAATCCTGTTAGTAGACCACTATAGGGAGGTGGATACACAGTATAGGCCGGACATTTCCTTTCACCTCTTTACTTATTCATCATTTTTAACCACTTTATAGAAACGATGAACGAAACAAACAACATATTAGATCAAAGAAAGGTTATCGGTGTATAGTCTCAGGCAATATATGCTAATCAAACGAACTTTAGGAGCACTCCATATTACAATAGTTACAATATTTCATGCTATGACATAATAATATGTCAGTTTCTGCAATTCTTTAACTTCCTTTCAGTAGTATATACCAATTGATTCACACCCAAATATATGATAATTCGTCACTGCGGTGTTTGTTTGCACGTTTTGCTCATGACATTTATCCTTTAATATATTCTATGAAATTGCAATCTGAACAAATAGCCATTTTCAATTTCTGTTCGGTAAACCATTTCGGAGCCATGCCATTTTAAACAGATTTTGCGTAAAATTCTCGCCGCTGGTCTTGTTTAAAAAGTCTGGTGATTTCAGCTATATCAGAGTCCACCATTCAGCGCTTGGAAATAACGAGACTGCCACGATGCTCTTGTTCGTCTTCGGTCTCGTCACCTTGTCGGTTCTCGGAGCTAACTGTGATAGAGATGCTCTACTATACAGGGTGGACATCTCTCTGCCACCCAAGGAAGGAAGGGACGAAGCTTCAGACATATTGTTCATTAAGGACACTGTGAATGGTCTAACTGACATCGGTGTTCTGTTCTCCTTTAAGGTTTGTGGAATTGTTTCAACTAGTTGTTCCCTCATGCATTTCTAAAATGTACAATTGACCCCTTGATGGGATAACAAAGTATTAAAGCATGGCTCAAGTACGCGTCCAGGAACCCCTGAAGATCCGGGTTAGAATTGGTCTTGGTGGTCAGACTCGCTGACTTGCTTGACACATGCCATCGTATGCCAATTACGTAGATCGATGCTCATGATGTTGATCACTGGACTGTCTGGTCCAGACTCTATTATTCCCAGACCGCCGTCATATGGCTGGAATATTGCTTAGTGCGGTTTTAAGCAAACAAACCAATGCTACCAGGTCTTCTTGATAATATTAGACTTCATGTCCTTTACATCCTAACATTGACATTCAACATAAATCCCGATATGAAGAGAGGGATCTTTGCTTTGTATATTAGCACAGACCCTTAAGATTTGTTGCTTACCTGCGATATCACGATACACAAGTACATAAAGCTCATGATTTGTTCAATATCAATACATACTAATTATTTGTTTTTGGTTTGAAAGGAGCTCGGGAACCCAAGGGTAGTTCTTGGTAAGTCAAGTGATAAACACTTTGTACGTAGCTTTGCTCTTTTATGTATATATAACGCCTATATGTTTGTTGCATAAAACTTCATAAAATCCCAGAATTTAGAAATTCGTATTTAGTGTAAAGATGTGTTTGTGATGCATTAGTTATTGATAAGGCCCATGGTCCCTAGTTTGGTGATCTACCTTCTGGTGTTGGCGATCTATAGCTTGTTTTTATATTGTATTGTCCAAATACTGCTATCAGTTTTAACTCTCCATACTAGTTTTAGTTGTAATTGTGATATTTTAGTTGTTTTACTGTCCTTCGTCGGCAGGTTTTTTATTATATACATATATTTCATTTCAATATCAAATGTTCTCGTCACAATATGGCTGAAATATTGCCGATGTGACGTTAAATATTAACTCACTCACTCACTATTGATAAGGACACGGTGGTGACACGGTCATATTTGGATTGTTATCATAGTATTACACTTTACATGAAAGCAATATGTTGATCAGATTCTTCATATCCGAAAGGATTCCGGAGGGACACGAAGATATTAATTTCAAATTTTCAAATGACGATTAGTGGATGTTTGTTTTCTTTCACTTGAAGATCTGCATGTAGATATATCTAACTCATCAAACAATTTGTGTTGCCGCGGCTTTCGGTGTTTGTTTTCTGTCACTTGAAGATCTGCATGTAGATATATCTAACTCATCAAACAACTTGTGCTGCCGCGGCTTTCAGTGTTTGTTTTCTGTCATTCAAAACGTGATGTTGGTGGACATTGAAAGAGTAAATACATTGAACACACCAACCAGTTTCCTCAAGACTTCTAACCTGTTGTACCTTTCATAACGTACCTTTTGTACAATTTCCAGTGCTTAACGTTGAGAAAGCCTGCAGTTGGAACCAGTTGACACAATATCTGTCAAGCAGTGGATATGAGTACAGCTCTCAGACCCTCTACCACTGTAGCGACTACGCTGAGGAACTCGGGGTCGACATTCCGAAGGACATGTGGTCAACTTCTTTTGGGGACGAGGATCTTATGATTGACCAGAAAACATTTCCTCTTGACGGTGTGTCTAGTTTTAACTCAAAAAGATGTAAGAAACTGGTACGGAGATGTAGGAGTCAATAAATCTAAGAAACATTGCATTCACATGTAAATGCATTTGTACTATGACAGCTGTTAGTTGGTAACACTTCAGAGTCACACCTCATTGTTTGTTCAGCTGTTGACCACTAGTATCTAGTATGGTTGATACCCATGAGCATAGACCAATCACATCATGTATTATATATTAATCATCATCCCCTTTTTAGATTTATCCACAGTTGAGTACAACCTCAAGATGAGGTGGACATTCGAGAAGGACATTGACATCCTCAAATCTGGTCAGAAGGGGGCGTGTTTCAAAACTCTGGCACAATACCCTGCTCAGGTAACCCTCTTTACACGGCTCGTTGTGTTGTGTAGATGACTTTGATATATTTGTTGGAAGCATTCAGATCTAGATAGGGGACAGCCTAACGATATGTCCTCCCGATTGCTGCATGAAAATTACGCATATACGTCTTCAAAACCGGAATATATCAATGTATATTTGGGACTAAATGTTTCTTGTGCAATTTGTGATATTTGATCACTGAATATTGACAATGCACTCTTGATTTCAGCTGATGTATTTTGCTCCACTCAAACCATCTAGCGTTGAAGCGATAGAAGAACTTCTGCATGCTCCTGGGAACTTTGAATCTGAAATCACCCAAATCCAAAACTTGGAATATTACACTGGACAGTGTAATTGAAACTGTGGGGCATCCCAAGCATCGATGGTATTAGCTCACTAAAATACCGGACGTAGACTGACTTCCTCCTTGACAGATTCTGAAAGTGCAATACGAGTGCTCTGTTAATCATGTATGTAATTTCTTGACTTCAATAAAGAAGACTACAGCATCTGTCCCTTAATTTATCATTTGTGATATTGCATATACATGTATGTGTTTTACATATGTAGTCACATTTTACAATATATAACTATATATTACACAGTGCAAACAAACAATAATCATAAACGATACACAGCGTCACACAGTCTGTGAGGATATCCGTGTCTGTAAGAAGATGGAGAGTCCCTGAATTGTAATAGTTACAAAATGTCATTGGTACTATTCAGTGTTGTTAACGCACAAGTGAGAAGTTGCACTGATTACTTACCTGCCCCACTACCTGGGTCATAATGTCTGAAACACACACACAGCATTACAAGTCCAGAATGCAGGTGGTAAAACAAACATTTTAATCAGTGATGTTTTCTTCTTGGCATCAATGTAAATGCTGGTCGCAGATTTAACTGCGAGAGCTATTCTCGCTCAGAGCTGTCGGAACTGAATATTTGCATTTTCGGAAGTGTAGCCACGTACTAACATCATTGTACAACTGGGAAATTAACAGAAACATTCAGTGAGACATGAGTTTTGACTTGGAGAAATGAGCTGAAACTGCATACGGAGATCCCAGTAGACCTGTTGTTCTTGCTTCCCTTACGTTGTTTCACTAGCAAAGACCATTTTGTTTCAAGGGCATGAAACTTAAATGTCAATAATTCCAATGTTTTGTGTACTTAGTAATAAACATCGTTTCAAACGTATTCTTTTAACACCAGACAATGAGTGGGTGAGTTTAGTTTTACGCCACACTCAGCAATATTCCAGATATATGGCGGTCTGCAAATAATCGAGTCTGGACGCGACAATCCAGTTATCAACAGCATGAGGATCGATAACACCAGACAAAACATACACGGGACATATCTGTTTAGTTCGTTGAGATGACTTAGATTTTGACATTAGACGTATTTATTACCATTCTGTTGTTGTGTTTCTGGCAGGTATAGTCTAGATTCATCCACGGTTACATATTGGTCTGAAAAATAAGCTGTGCCTGCTTCAAATGATGAATATGGGGCGTTTGTGGTCAAGAGTAACAAGCTTTGGCACCCAGTGTTCTCAAACCTTGGTCACGCCCAGTCATTCCTGAGAATGTTCTCAACTCCCTCGTCAGAGTTGCCTGCTTTATTGGCTATGTACCATGCGACGAGTCGTTAATCAGCCATAGGGCAGCATTTTGTTGAATGTGTTTCACGTAGCCACCATGAACTGACGATGGATCCGTCGGGTTCAAATAATAAGAATACGAATACAAAATAAAAAGAAGACAAAGCTATCAGTAACTTCTATTCTGCTATATTTTGGCTGTTTATGCGTAGATATGGGAAAGCTGAAAGTCTTGAGAGAAGAAGAATCTTGAAAGAAACTATTTGGTCTATTATCTTTGATATTCGGCGGAATATACAGCACAAGTATTCTTTGTCAAAGTGTCAGAATCAGTAACACAGCTTGCATTTCAACTCGATGAAACGTTATGCTTTGTCTTATGATGTACGCACGGACACTAGACTGTCTAGACTGTCTATGGTGCAATTAGAATTGCATGCAAAACATTGTCGATCTGTACAGTTATTATAGATGTAGTAATGTCAGTTTCTAAGTAGCTTCAACGATTTGAAAGGACAGCATCAAATTTTCTCTCACATGGGCTTCATGTGAAACTGATATCTTACGACTGTAATCCTTTCTGTTGCTATCCTTGTACGATTAGCAACGTGTGATCGCACCGAAACTATAATTCAGAAACTCAAAATATTTAGTAAAACACTCTCATTATACATCATTTTCCATCTCTTGCACAAAAACCATAGTGTATATTAAATACACATTTACATCAATGTATTTAGTATATAAGCACGTCACCTTCACATCTTTGCAAAAAAAAACAACAACTCTTGGCAAGCAGAATAAGGTAACTTATGTTGTAAGCATACATGGACTCTAAGATCACAATATGCATGGCAAAGAACCAAAGACTTCATTGAACTATCTCGTTTAAAAAATGTCCTAACTTGCTTGAGTCCTAACTTCAATGTCGGTAACAGTTTATGGAACTGATGGTGGTGACAGCCATTGATATAATGACATTGTTGTTTGTGTTTAGTCCATGGCTATCTATGGGGCAATTAAAATTGTATGCAACACATTGTTGATTTGTACAATTATTTTAGATGTAGTGGTGTCAGTATCTAAGTCAAATGTTGTGAAATTGGACTTTGTTGTTAACATTTTGCTTTCAAAAGTAGTCTCACCTTTCACCTGGCTCATGTTATAAGTCTCCATGCAGAGAGAAAGTCTACACAAGTAATATATCTGATTTTCATGAGATTGACAACGGACTCTGTGTTGCTTATTTCGGTTAATCAAAACTGAAACCGTTCCCAACAGTTGTAGTGGTAGTAGCATACATTATACACATATATATACAGGCATTAAATGAAGACAGCAAAAAGAAACAAATGAACAGTGTTTTAGATCTGCTGCACTCCTTGGTCAATAGGAAACATGTCAATAAAGATAGAGACTTTGCAAATGTGGCTGTCATTATTGATGTGATGCAATATTCTGCATAACTATTGGAAACAAGGACAAAACACTGAAATAAAAAAGGACAAGATCCTCAATTCTAGATGAGTGAACAGAATACAGTGTGCATTTTGACAGAACACAAGAGCATGTTTTTGGTACTAAATCAGAATACTCGTATTTGGTCGTGTGCATATGACACAAATCCTGAATCCTCATAGCAGACAATTAGGGAGGTAGATATACAGTATATATAGGAAATTTAAATGATATGATAAAAATGATGAACAAAGCAGAAAATATATGTGCCAACTTCTATTTCTTCCAGCAAGACAAATGACAAGTTATCAGTTTTTAGTCACAGGCAATATATGCTTATCATACGAAGTTTAGGAACACTCCATTCTTCCATATTACAAACGTTACAATCTGCCATGTTATGGCAACTAAAATAATATGACAGATTCTGCAATTCTTTAACTTCCTTTCAGTAGTATATACCAATCGATTCACAAACAAATATATGATAATAAGTCTCTGTGGTATGTTTGTCTGCACGTTTTGCTCATGACATTCGAATCTACTGTTAACAAATAACCATTTCTGTACATTTTCTATTCGTCATAAAAATCAAAACCATGTGTGTGTGTGTGTGTGTGTGTGTGTGTGTGTGTGTGTGTGTGTGTGTGTGTGTGTGTGTGTGAGTGTGAGGGTGTGAGGTAGATAGGTAGGTAGGTACTTAGGTAGGTAGGTAGAGAGGAACCCCACAAGTATTTCTTGATGGCTTCACCTACTCTAAGAATAGAACCAGAGGCCAGACCACACACTGGAGATGAATCATCAAGACATGCCGAGGGAAATGTTCCACTGTTGGGGACTTCCTAAAATATTTCTCGGACCACTGCCACCCACCTAGAGATCCGACTCAAGTCCAGTTTGTTACTACTTTGCGGAAACGGGCTAGAGAAGAAGCTACACCTGTCCAGGCTATCTACAATGGAGAAGACGTCCCGCATCTTCCTTCCTTCCCAAGCTTGAAGAGGTCCCTCTACCGACAACAATCCCTGTACTTCCACAGACGAGAGCTGATGTTCACTTAGAAGGGCAGTGGACCACAACTAGAGATGGCAGAAGATTTCTACTCTGTGAAGATGGCCAAGAAGACAAGATCTTTTCAACTGATGAGCAGCTGAGATGTCTTTCCGAAGCAGATACAATCTACATGGATGGTACCTTTTCCTGTTGCCCCAACCTTTGGAACCAGCTGTACACTGTACATGCCCGCAGTGGATATACGATGTACCCACTTGTCTTCTCCCTGCTGCCCAACCGACAACAGACAACATAGCTGTCCAGTACAAGGAAAATCCCCAAGTGCAGAGTTAGATTCGAAGAGCGGCTGGGCTTCCCCTACTTCCTCTTCCTGATGTTCAAGAAGCCTGGTTGGAGACTATGCAGGAAAAAGCAAGGTCCCAAGACTTCAATGACTACATGGCGACGACATGGGTTGACGACCTCGCCCGTTAACCTCTACCCCTATTGAATCACCACCACAGTTGGACCAAGGACAAACAGCAATTTGGAGGGATTTCATGCTCGTGTGAACAGAAGTCTCCCACATCAGCACCTAAACCTGTACCTCTTTGTGGACCTGCTCCAAGGCATAGAGAAATAGAGACTGATTTCATACTGATGTGCTTACTTGTACTGAATGTGATCATGATTCTTATTGTTATTATCATTATTATTAAAACGTTTTCCCTGATTTCTTAGATTTCTGTTATTTGTTTTATGGGCCATTCCTATTTCATTAAGAGGTAACAGGCAGGGGATTAGCTGTGCACTCAACCAGATAGTTTGTTGTTTTAACCTGTCTGACTTTTTGGACGTCTGACAAATGGGAGGATACCGACCACAGTAGAATGTTACACTCAACATAAGGAAACATGGTGTATTCGCTGTAAGAGGTTGTGTAGTGCTTGAAGAATGTCAGCGAGGATGACCTCCCAATCCCATTGGTCGCCTCTAACGACAAGCATGGATTCCAGAAGACCAATTCACACTCGCATCTTCACGGGCGTTTCCAGTAAGTAAATACTTCTTTGCCTTTTCTCGTTACTGTTTTAGCTTTAGAAAAGCCATCAATGCATTACAGGGAGACTTTAACCCAATTGGTAATTATCCACATATTCTGGTTCAATGTCTAGAGATTCAAGGGCATTTAAGTTAGGATTGTTTGCACTCGTATATGTTGTTACACACCCCTTTCTGCAGCCAGAAGAGACCACCCCCTGTCAAGACGTTGTTGCGCAGTGAAGTGTCGTCAATTAGGGAACATATTTATCACTTCCCTGCTCATTCGTGACCAACTCGTGTTATTCCGGGACAAACCGAATAGCGACTCGTGCCCCTCTGGAAGGATTTCA